ATTTCATTATTAGTGCTCTTTACTACATAATATTCATAAAGTTTATCCTTTGTTGAATTCAAATGCACAGTAATGACATGGGGATGAAAATTAAGTTAGATTTTTTACAGCTGTGGAAAAAGCCAAATGGGATTGAGCTACTGGTGTATATATTGCTTAGTCAAGTCATCATGTATATTTTTCTATTTTGGGGTTTATCTTTATTATCATGTGGAGTCCAAGATTCTAAACAAAAACCCCTTACCAGGTACCGTCGTGTATTGCGGCATCTCCAGAGGGGTTCGTGCGGTTCTGGCCAAGCATTGCTCATGAAGGCTCCTATAATGAAGTCAGCACCGAACTTCAGGTCAGTCTTTGGGATGGTACCTGTTGTTGCCTTCACTAGGTGTAAGTTTCCACTTGTCGTTGGGTCGTCAGACAACCTGTGCTCGTGTTGGCCTCACGTCTGATCTCTCTATGCTTGACACCTTTTCCTGTTGTACAGTGCTTAAAACTACTATATAAAAACAAGAGGAAGCATTTCTCTATGAAGTAGAAGATATTTGAAGAGAAGGTAAGATAAGATAATTATCAGGAGAAAGCATTAGGCCAGAATGACTAATCTGTACCGCACTTAGAAGGGATATGAGGATAGACTGAAAGAAATATGCCCAGCCACCATCTGGTATTTAACATTGACCTAGCAAGAAGCAAGGCTGTTGTTGTACCAGTCAATCCAAGTGTGTGTGTGTATACAGTTTATTAAGTCACTGGGAATTTTATGAAATATTTGTGTTAAACTAGACTAAAAATAAGGTGTCAGGAGCATGGGTCTAATCCTTTGGCACAAATAGGACGGGTAACTTCGTATGTGCATGTATATCCAGACCTACAACTACATTACTTGTTCCTATCATTTGCACATTTGTACTTCATCCAGTATGGTAGTTCCTATTTAGTGTGTTTTGCCACGTTTATAATTTCTTTTATGATTTAGTTGTGTACAAATTCATATCAAGTCATAAAATGGCATATTGACTTTAGTATGATAATTTGGTCCTGCCTTTGTGTTTGTGAGGAATTAACTTAAGCTCATGGATCCTACTTTTTAAACATTAATTAAAGTGGAATATTGTTCGTAAGGTTTTATACACCGTACAGTATTTTGTTGTAAATGATTAACATGCACCAAGTTCTGAGGATATCATAGTTGTGAAGATCTAATTATAGTCTTTGTTCATAATATATTTTCTAGTAATTTTAAAAAGATTTAATAGCTGAATGTAAAATGTCTTACTGCTATTTTGTTTCCTATAAAACTTTCCCTTCTGAGTGAAATAGAAATGTTAAATATTTTTGTTAGATATATTATGATGGGTTTTATGTGACATCTAAATCAATGTCATTTTTAGTACTTTGACCCTTAAACTGCGCATGGCGTATATATACCCCCTGAGTAACATGTCCCACGGTGCGCATGGAGTATATATATGCCATAGGGTGCCAGGCCCGATTCAAATGGCCCGCGGCTACACGGGGTTCACATTAGCTTCCTCAGGGCTCTTGTAAACAGATGCCATTTTAAAAAAAAATCGTGGGCAATATTCTCAGGTGTGAGAGGCACAGTACTGTTGGAGCAACCAAGGCCGGCGCACGCAGCATGAACGAACAGCATTGCTGTTCAGCTTGTGACCACAGTATCGCCGAAAAATGTCAAAATAAATATATAATTGTTATTATTTAACGATGACAATATTATAGATGACCCCTGACTGTGATATAAATAACCAGGGTTGTGATAATAGCAGGATTGTTGTAATAATTAGTGCTGTGGGAGGAGTGATGCTGAGAGACGGAGGGAGATAGCATCGTTTACTGACTGTGTGGCCACCTGTTATTGTTTGCATTCACCATACCAGCTCAGTGGTTCTCTATGGTGAACACAAATGTAGATACTTATATATAATGTGTGTATTAGTGTAATAACAGCAAAAGGATTATGCTGGGAGGAGCCATATGGGTGACGGAGGTGACGTCGTCTGCACGATTTCTCTAGCTGTTTAGAGGGTGGCCACTATGCTCTTTGGGCGCACTACAAGCTTAGGTGTACAGTTACGGTGCATACAACATGTAGATACTTATATATAATATGTGTATATAGGGTAATAACACTGCAAACAGTATTGTTGGGGGAGAAAGTTTAGTGCGTGTGACCTTGAATGAGTGAGGGAGCCGCCAGCTGTGTATAGCGACGACTCTTAGTGCCTGAACTAACTATATCAGCTTAGCTGTACAGTTGTGGTGAACAAAATATATACATACTTATATATAACATCTGTATATAGTGTAATAACACCACAAATAGTATTGTTGGGGAAGAAAGTTTAGTGCGTGTGTTGAGGGAGTGGCTGGCTGGTGTGTGGCGGTAACTCTTCGTTGCTTTTCGACTCTCAATATCAACTTAGTGGTTCGTTATGGTGACCAAAACATGCAGATACTTAAATATAACCTGTGTATAGAGTGTAATAGCAGCAAAACTATTTGTTTATTGTTTTATAAACATAATAATTGAATCACTAATATGCACATCATACTTTTGAGTATAGCGATTATTCACCACTTTTATTATATAAATATATTACAATACACACTATTGAATAATATTACTGCAAAAAAACTAAGAAAAAATCAATCGGAGACATTGAAACAATTAGGTAATAATATCTTTGTAGCAACTCCCACCTGTCAGCGGGGTGACACTGACCGGGTCTGACGACTGCTCTGTCAATCCCCACTTTTTGCCAGACTTCCTCGGTCAATTGCGCCCAAAATATGTCGCCTACGATTTTTTTTTATTTTTCCTGTGCTCAGGGGACACAAATTGACATGTTTAGAAGACGAAAAAAATTTTGTATTTGTTTTTTCTTGCGCACAGGGGTGTAAATGTCCCCAGGACCCCTGAGCAGTGTAAGGGTTAAAGTATTTGCGATTGTTCTTGTGCATAGTTGTTAAGGTGTATCGTTGATGACTGTAGGGCCAGGAGTGCGACAGCTTGGTGTTCCTGGGAGCTGCTCTGGGCTGTCTCTTGGCAACCACCACGTCCACCACACTGCTCATCCAGCCAGGCGGGGGATCAGGAGGGAACCAGACCATCAATGTTCGACAGTTAAAGGTGCCAGCTGGCCTGCTAGGGGGCATATCCCGCAGGGTGTCGTCGCTCGTCTTTGGCTCCATGCCAACACAAGCTCCTGAAGCTGTGAGTACAATTTTTTTGGTTTCTACTTAGGAAATTTGGATTACATTTGTGCTGTACCTCAAAAATCCAGACATGGTTGAGACCATACAAGAACTTAGTGTGCAGAAAGCCAAGAACTTCATTTTATTAGTTGCTGTAATACTTCATGTATTATGCTAGGTATTAAATCTCTCTCTCCTCTGTTGCTTCATCTAATGCTCCTCCAGAAATTTTGTATCTATATTTTCAGTTTTTCCTTAAATGTAATTTTGAACTTTAACCCCTGCAGTGTGCACCTGTTTTTTTTGGCAAAAACTTCATAGTGCAATTGTTAAGGACATATTTTTGTTGTTTTCATAAATGGTCAGGTAAAGTTAATGTCAAAATGTTTTCAAACTCAACTATTTTCATTTCAAAACACAAAGTGATGAAAACATTAAAAAACATTAAAATATAGCCTAAGTAAAAAAAAAAAAAAATGCACAACTCTCAAAACGACATCTGTTGTTTGGCACAGTGCAGTGGTTAAGCTCGTTTTTCTCATTTGAAGCTATTGTTATAGCGAGTCCACGTTCTTCTGGGGGTCTTGGCCATCATTGTATAATAGCAATTAAAGTCCTAGTTTTGTGTCGGTTTTCAAAATGTTAATTAAACCCACCTTTAAACTTTTTATGTACATTGCAAATTATAGCATCCAAGGATTGATTCATGCGGGACATTGTTTGTTATATACGTACATTCTAGCATTTCTCCGTGAAGTGTAACTACTACTGGTTATTTAAGAATCCCAATCTTATACTTCCCTTACTGGCAATGTATGCTTGTACAGTAGTTGTGCAATAGTTTCCTGTGCTATTGTACTCAAAGGCCTTTTTCTAAATCTTGTAGATGGCTAATGGTATTTTCAAATCCCAATCTTGTACTGTAGAAATAAAAGGTTAAACAAAGATTGTATGTTTGTTAACTTGGATCTGTTTGCTAAATCTGTGTTGGGTGTCTTCTGTTAAATTTTTGTATGGCAAGTAAATCTAATTTTTCTGCTGTACCTCTCTGTTGCTCCCCCTAAGGCAATATCCTGCTTTTCTCATGGATAAGTCCAAGCCCACTCAAGGTGGGTGGTATTTCACCCTGGTACAACAGTCATCTTTTTCAAACCATCATAAAGGGTCATATTAGGGCAAAGGAAACGATAGAAAAGACTATCTGGCCTGAAATTAACCTCCAGAAGTTTCATTCATCAACAGAGCCCTTGATTTGTACATGGGCTGGATTGATTGTTCTTTAGTAGAATCTTGTGGAGATGGTTGGAAAAGTTCCTGCAGTGTGTCAATGCCAAGTGTCGGTCTTCCTGAATACTCACCAGATCCTAACTGGAGGTCTATAAAATATTACATAAGCTAGTAATTCAGTGCACTGCCAAGAAAGTGCTTTTTATGTGCACTCAAAGCTTGATTTACTTAAATTATTCTGTAATTTCAGACAAAACCTTGATAAAACCATTTTTAGAGGGGCAGGGGAGAGGAAGGCCTAATGTGATTTAATGATAATTTTCATTGCCAGAGCTGCATGTACAGTAACTTAATAGATTAACTTTGTGGAATGATGCTTACAGAGGCTGGTGAGGGCCGTAGGTGTCCATGGGGCCGACAAGGACCAGCGTGCCGTGCTGGTGCTGTCGGCTCACTCCTTGCAAAAATGGTACCTTGTTCCTGGAGAAGCTGACAAGCTGGTATACGAGTGTAATGTAGAGAAGTACATAAGAGAAGGCTTTGTGGACCATGTGTGGGTAAGCATTCTCTTCTGTGATGTTTCTCATAGCTGTAATGTGTATTTAACAGAAAATGTCTTCAAGGAGAGGTGGGTTTCTGTACTGTGTACAATTTCATTGTTGAAAGTAGCTTTTCTTTACCCAGAAGTAAATAGATACCTAGGAGTTAGTTGACTGTTGTGGGGTTGCATCCCGGGGAAGGTCAGGTGTTTGCTTGGGGGATGAGGGGGGGCCCCAGGAGAGGGCTAACAGTCTTTCTGCTCTGACAATTGGAAAATAACATAGGGTTGATTGATGTTCTCAATGTCATTGGTGATTCTTTAATAGCTGCTTCATCCAAGGGTTAATAAGTAAGGTATTTAAAAGAGAATTCATATTTTGTCATGCAAGCTAGGTATGCCTGTTACATACCCGCACCCTTATTCCCCCACCCAAACCATATGATAGTCCCTTTACCCTTGTCAGTCCACACACCACCCACTCGTGCATACCATACCAACCGTGCACGCCACTCCAACTGTGCACAGTGTTAGAACATTATATAGAAATCTAAACAAGGAGGCTTTTAAAAGTCCAAACACACTACCTATGTGAGACCATTACTGGAATATGCAGCACCGGCATGGAATCCGCACATCATGAAGCACAAAAGACATCTTTACAAGTTCAAAGGTTTGTAGCTAGAATAGTACCAGAATGGAGAGAGCTTGGCTATGAAGACAGGTTTAGAGAACCTGCCATCACAATTGTAGAGGAGAGATGAAAAAAGAGAAGATATGAACACCGCATACAATGTTCTGAGAAGAATACACAACATGAACAAGGGCAGCTTACTTAAATTGAAAGTATGTAGAACAAGAAGACACTGGTCCAAGTTGGACTTGCAGTCAAGTTGTTGAATGCATAGAAAGTTTCATATCCTGTTTGTTTGGTTGGGAAGTGGTCAACTTTGCTTTTGAAGGAAGTTGGCGAAGTTCCTTCCATCGATAACGTTATGGAAAAATATGATGGAACCTTAAATGTTGAGAGATGTAGTGTGGCAGGATCATTAATAGAGAGTTATATCTTGCTTCCCCAGAGTCAGTCTTCCCCCATGAATTGAGCTAACAGCTCGATTCTGCAGGCACAAAGAGTAAAAATATATACACACACACACACACACACACACACACACACACACACACACACACACACACACGTTAAACAAGCTACGAGGATGAGGGAAGGGGACGTTCCCTCCATGCTAGATTTGATATTTACCAGGAAGGAGGAAGAGATATTTGACATTCAGTACCTTCTTCCCTTGGGTAAAAGTGACCATGTCTTTTTGGGAATAAAGTATGCAATGCGTTATAAGCTGGAAGAAAATAAGGAGGTTGAAGCAGTTGAAAAACCAGACTTCAGGAGAGGACATTATGGTGACCTTAGAAATTTTTTTAGTGAGTATAATTGGACAGACTTGATGCTAGGCAAGGAAGTGAATGAGATGTATGTCAAGTTTTGTGAAATATATGATAAAGGCACAAAAAAATTTATACCAAAACAGAGATCCAGAACTAGGAAACAGGATTGGTTCAATAGAAATTGCGAGAGGGCTAGAGACCAAAAGACACAAAAATGGAATCAATACAGGAAGAGGCCGAACCCCCAAACATACCAGCGATACAAAGATGCGAGAAACAACTACACGGCAGTGAGGAGAGAGGCAGAAAGAAATTTTGAAAAAGGGATTGCAGACAAATGTAAAACAGAACCAGGTCTATTCTATAAATTCATAAACAACAAATTGCAGGTAAAGGATAATATTCGGAGGTTGAAAATGGGAAATAGATTCACGGAAAATGAAAAGGAAATGTGTGAAACACTAAACGAAAAGTTCCAAAGTGTGTTTGTACAAAATGAAATCTTTAGGGAACCAGATACAATAAGAATTCCAGAGAACAACATAGAGCACATAGAGGTGTCTAGAGACGAAGTGGAAAAAATGCTCAAGGAGCTCGGTAAGAACAAAGCGGCTGGCCCAGATGGCGTTTCAACATGGGTTCTGAGAGAATGTGCATCTGAGCTCAGCATTCCAGAGAACATATTCATTCATTCAGAGAACATATACAGCACGCATAGACGCAATAAAGCACCTAAATTATTGGGATCGTCTCAAAGCCCTCCAAATGTACTCACTAGAAAGAAGACGAGAGAGATATCAAATAATATACACCTGGAAGATACTGGAGGGCCAAGTACCAAATCTACACAGTAAAATAACAACGTACTGGAGTGAACGACATGGAAGAAAATGTAGAATAGAACCAGTGAAGAGCAGAGGGGCCATAGGCACAATCAGAGAACACTGTATAAACATCAGAGGTCCGCGGTTGTTCAACGTCCTCCCAGCAAGCATAAGAAATATTGCCGGAACAACCGTGGACATTTTCAAGAGGAAACTAGATTTATTCCTCAAAGGAGTGCCGGACCAACCGGGCTGTGGTGGGTATGTGGGCCTGCGGGCCGCTCCAAGCAACAGCCTGGTGGACCAAACTCTCACAAGTCGAGCCTGGCCGGGCTTGGGGAGTAGAAGAACTCCCAGAACCCCATCAACCAGGTATCAACCAGGTATTCCACTTCACCTGATCTTTCAGGCATCCCTGTGTACAGGAATCGTAGCAGACGTGTGGAAACAGGCTAACATAGTTCCAATCTACAAAAGTGGCAGCAGGGAAGACCCCCTCAATTATAGACCTGTATCATTGACAAGTGTAATAGTGAAAGTATTGGAAAAACTAATCAAAACTAAATGGGTAGAACACCTAGAGAGAAATGATATAATATCAGACAGACAGTATAGTTTTTGATCTGGAAGATCCTGTGTATCGAATTTACTCAGTTTCTATGATCGAGCCACAGAGATATTACAGGAAAGAGATGGTTGGGTTGACTGCATCTATCTAGACCTAAAAAAGGCTTTCGACAGAGTTCCACATAAGAGGTTGTTCTGGAAACTGGAAAATATTGGAGGGGTGACAGGTAAGCTTCTATCATGGATGAAAAATTTTCTGACTGATAGAAAAATGAGGGCAGTAATCAGAGGCAATATATCGGAATGGAGAAATGTCACAAGTGGAGTACCACAGGGTTCAGTTCTTGCACCAGTGATGTTTATTGTGTACATAAATGATCTACCAGTTGGTATACAGAATTATATGAACATGTTTGCTGATGATGCTAAGATAATAGGAAGGATAAGAAATTTAGATGATTGTCATGCCCTTCAAGAAGACCTGGACAAAATAAGTAGATGGAGCACCACTTGGCAAATGGAATTTAATGTTAATAAATGTCATGTTATGGAATGTGGAATAGGAGAACATAGACCCCACACAACCTATATATTATGTGAGAAATCTTTAAAGAATTCTGATAAAGAAAGAGATCTAGGGGTGGTTCTAGATAGAAAACTATCACCTGAGGACCACATAAAGTATATTGTGCAAGGAGCCTATGCTATGCTTTCTAACTTCAGAATTGCATTTAAATACATGGATGGCGATATACTAAAGAAATTGTTCATGACTTTTGTTAGGCCAAAGCTAGAATATGCAGCTGTTGTGTGGTGCCCATATCTTAAGAAGCACATCAACAAACTGGAAAAGGTTCAAAGACATGCTACTAAGTGGCTTCCAGAACTGAAGGGTAAGAGCTACGAGGAGAGGTTAGAAGCATTAAACATGCCAAAACTAGAAGACAGAAGAAAAAGAGGTGATATGATCACTACATACAAAATAGTAACAGGAATTGATAAAATCGACAGGGAAGATTTCCTGAGACCTGGCACTTCAAGAACAAGAGGTCATAGATTTAAACTAGCTAAACACAGATGCCGAAGAAATATAAGAAAATTCACCTTCGCAAATAGTGGTAGACGGTTGGAACAAGTTAAGTGAGAAGGTGGTGGAGGCCAAGACCGTCAGTAGTTTCAAAGCGTTATATGACAGAGTGCTGGGAAGACGGGACACCACGAGCGTAGCTCTCATCCTGTAACTACACTTAGGTAATTACACACACGCTCGCTCGCTCACTCACTCACTCACTCACTCACTCACTCACTCACTCACTCACTCACTCACTCACTCACTCACTCACTCACACTCACACTCACACTCACACTCACACTCACACTCACACTCTCACTCACTCACTCACTCACTCACTCACTCACTCACTCACTCACTCACTCACTCACTCACTCACTCACTCACTCACTCACTCACTCACTCACTCACTCACTCACTCACTCACTCACTCACTCACTCCAGAATTGCTTTTAAATACATGGATGGCGATATACTAAAGAAATTGTTCACGACTTTTGTTAGGCCAAAGCTAGAATATGCAGCGGTTGTGTGGTGCCCATATCTTAAGAAGCACATCAACAAACTGGAAAAGGTGCAAAGACATGCTACTAAGTGGCTCCCAGAACTGAAGGGCAAGAGCTACGGGGAGAGGTTAGAGGCATTAAATATGCCAAAACTGGAAGACAGAAGAAAATGAGGTGATATGATCACTACATACAAAATAGTAACAGGAATTTATAAAATCGACAGGGAAGATTTCCTGAGACCTGGAACTTCAAGAACACGAGGTCATAGATATAAACTAACTAAACACAGATGCCGAAGAAATGTAAGAAAATTCACTTTCGCAAACAGAGTGGTAGACGGTTGGAACAAGTTAGGTGTGAAGGTGGTGGAGGCCAAGACCATCAGTAGTTTCAAAGCGTTATATGACAGAGTGCTGGGAAGATGGGACATCACGAGCGTAGCTCTCATCCTGTATCTACACTTAGGTAATTACACTTAGGTAATTACACACGCTCTCTCGCTCGCTCACTCACCCACCCACCCACCCACCCACCCACCCACCCACTCACCCACCCACTCACTCACTCACTCACCCACCCAGTCAGTGTCCTTAACTTGTATACCATGCAAAGTGATGAAGATTGTAAGAAAAAATCTAGTAAC